GAAATGATGATGATGCTACTCAGAGAAACTATATAGTCTGATTATTCCAGAGCAAAAGAGATAAATAGGTAGTGGTGGAGATGTAGAGTTTACATCTAGAGAATTGATTAAATGTGATTGTTTAAGCAAGCCAGTGACCAGAATTAATCAGGGCAGTGCATCCATGTTGGTCTTGCCCCAGCTCTGGTAAGAGGAGGAGGAGGGGGAGGGGGAGGGGGAGGGGGAGGGGGAGGAGAAGAAGAGGAGAGCAGCTCTCTAGCAGGGTGGGCGTGGTTTGGTCCAGTGCGTCCCGCGGGGGTCCTGCCTTGGCGGTTGAGGGGAGAAAAGTTACCTTCTTGAACCCAGCGTTGTAACTCCCTCTTTTGGGTGTGATCTCCCTGTGCTGGGGACGTAGCGAAGGTGGGCCACGTTCTATATCCCAAGCCAGGCCTCGTTTCCAGATCTCAGTCTGTGCACTCCATTGATATTGCCTGAAATGCAAACTCGCAGGCGAGTCCCGCTTCCCTGCCGGGGATCGAGCCGAGGGAGCAGTGGGGCAGTGCCAGGCCGGGGTGCCACCCTGCCGGGGATCGTGCCAGGAGAGCCTCGGAGCGGTTTCTCCTGCCGCCACCAGGGACCGGGGCTCCCAGCCCTGGGTCGGCACCCCAGCTAGAAATAGGTCACTCTCTGTCCTGAGAGTGTCCCGAGGCTTTTCTCTTCTCCAAGGACAGGTCTATGAGCAGTTTCAGCTGCTCTTTCTTTTCCCCTCGACTCACTGCGGCTCCCATGAAGGGGGTTCTCTCCCTCCCTCCGTGTCTCTGGCCCCGGCCCGTTTTTATCTTCCCCCGTTCACACTCACGCACCTATGAGGTTGATATAAATAAAACATTAAAAACAATATGGACCTGAGGCTCATGGACTTCTTAGTGGACGCTGTCTCTGCCTCCCAAACTCCTGCAGTTCAGTGTCCTACGGCTTCAGGCCTTCTCTGTTGGAGAGACGGGGGCAAGTGAAATGTACGCAGCTCCCTGCCTCTCCGCCATCTTGCTTCTCACCCGGAATGAGTTACTTGAACTTCACATTCACCATCTTAGGTTGAAAACTGCAGTTGCTGGGTCTCGCAGGTTGAGCTGATAGTTGAAAGTATGGCCGACGACTCCATATTTTTTCTCTTTCGGCACAAAATGATGATCGTGACTGTATGATCTACTAATCTGCTGGTGATGGGAGGGGTGTGGTAACTTGCCAGACGTGTCCTGGTTTGCAGGGAGACCTGGCTGGAGGTCACAGTTCACAGGGAGATCTGACTGGATGTCAGGGTTCACAGGGATGTCCTCCTGACTGGGGGCCATAGTTCATAGGGAGGTCATCCTAATTGGAAGTTGTCATTCACAGGGATGTTCTCCTGACTGGAGGTCACAGTTCCCAGGGAGGTGATCCTGACAGGAGGTCATCCTGACTGGAGGCTGTTGTTCACAGGGTTGTCACTGGCTACAGTAATAATGTCCCTTTGGTGCCGTGTTCTAGTGACAGTGATGAGCACAGCAGCCATGGGCAAGCTATCACTCCCAGTGGGTCTGGTGTAAATCATTCAAACAAGGACCTGGGTGTTAGGAGCTGCACTAGGCGGGGCAGGCGGAGGCGGCAGGCCCTTCTCCCAGGGGAGCATTTCTGAACCCTTTGTCTGGCGGATGTGCAGTAACCAAGCCAGCCGGCAGGGGTTTACATGGTGATTGCTGCTGCGGTGTTGTAACAGGAGAGCGGGGTTGGGACCGACCCCCAACGTGGCAGCGCGGGGCTGGGGCCCTGGCGGCCTCAGCAAGGATTACACAGCCCCTGACAAAGATGGGACGACTGGTCTGGCGTGTGCACCCAGCCTGCTTTGCCGTGGCGTGGAGAAAGTGGGGGCCCCTTGAAGCTTTGACCCGAGATCCCAAGTGAGCTCCAGCAAGTGTTGGTGCTGAGAAGTCAGAGTGATGAGATACTGCCGGCAGCCACACTCCCATCTGTGCAATGTGTCCAGGAGATGTTCTAAGGTTTAGTCAGTTAGCCTGCAGACCTTTCCTAGGAGCAAAGCGTGTGGGACAGGGGTTCTTAGCCAGTTTACAGGAAATTAAGCCATTCCAATGACGAAGTGGAGATCTGGCCAATGCTGAAGGCTGTCAGCATGTGACTGGCCCACTCCATCAGGAGCCTGCCATTGTCACGTGCACCGGAGAGGCATTAGGAGGCAGTCCCAGGAGGGCTGCAGGGACCCTGAGGGAGTGTCACTTAGGAAGGTGCCAACACCCCCAGCATAAACTCTTTGATTTACTCACAGCCTTCACCAGACCTCCAAAATGTGTGGGGAAAGCCATTCGTTCTTCATTCTCTCCTGGTTCCTAAGTCAGGTCAGTTCACGTTAGAGGTCGTTAGTAGTGCTCCCTGGGCACCCTGGCGATCGGGTACTGCTTATTGGCAGAGTGCCTCCCATGTACACATGGCTTGCAAGGGAACAGAGTCCAGATCCAGGGTCAGGCGGTGCCATCACGTCACACAACAGTGTTCTCAAAAACAACAAATGAAATGGCTCCTGGGTGGCTCAGTTGGTTAAGTATCCAACTTCAGCTCAGGTCATGATCTCACGGTTTGTGGGTTCGGGCCCCAGGTTGGGATCTGTGCTGTCAGCATGGAGCCTGGAACCTTTCTGTCCCTCCCCTGCCCCTGCTCCGTCTCTTTCTCAAACTAAACATTAAAACAAAAGAAAAACAAATGGAGACCCTCCTTGAAAGGCAGGCCAAGTCCTGACTCCTGAGCCTGACTCTGCTTCACTGGGTTGTGATATGCCTTTGAAACCTGATAGCAGGCTGGCCTCAGCCCCTCCGAGTCCCTCCCTGCCCTGACACGCAGTGAAGCCACATCTTGATTAAAAGCACAGAAGAGGCTGGGTCTCTACTGATGTCTGAGACCTGCTTTGTCATCTGTACTATCACCTGGGTTTGAAGAAGTGGGGACACGCACATGAGCGAGAAGGGAGCGGCTCGTGTCCTGGCGTGGTTGTGCTCGTGTTTCTGGGGGATGGGCTGCTGTCCCTGTGGCTGACAGTGTGCACTCTGCCCGGGGACCCTGCCGTGACGCCCTGTCTCTGTCTCCAGTGTCAGATCATATACCCTCGCCGGTAGCTGCTGACCCTCTGGGAGCCGGAGATGATTGGCTTCATTGAAAACAACTTGTCAAATTTGAGCCTCCTTTTGAGTGAAATTTCAAAGTGTGAATTCCGTTCATTTTTATAACCTAGAAAAGTATCTTTGTTGTGGTCACAGGCGGTTATAGCTGACTGGAGCAACCAGCGGTAGTGGTTTGGGGGTCAAAGGACAAGGACTTGAACCCTGAGGCATCTGTCACACATGTGCTGGAAGAGCTTCGAGAGCACCTGACTGCCTCAGCCCCGGGCTCCTGGGCCAGAGCGTAGGGGTCCACCGCCTTCCCACAGGCACCATTAGGAAACAGAGCAGTGCTTGCTTCTCTCTAAAAAGATCGATACATAGATTAAGACTATCACAATGCATCAATGATTTCTTACACAATATTTGTTAAACTTTACAAACTGACAAGTAGAAAAAAGTGGAAACTTCTGTTTGAGTCGGTAAGCAGAGTGAAGCAGGGGCCTGTGCTTGGTGCTTCGGGAAGTGAGAGAAAGCGTGTGGCCCAGCCGCGCAGGGTGTCAGGAGAGCACACTCAGCACCTGAGCGCTATGGCCACACATGTGCTGGGGCCCGTGGCTGCCAGTGCGGTCAACCTCCCAGATGGCTTTGGTGACCAAGGGCGACAGGGAGAGAAGGTAGGGAGACGAAGCAGAGCCTCAAAGGACAGTTAAAATTTGGATAAACTGGAGAGAACGATGGAAGGCTGCAGGTGTCATAGGTGCAGGGACCTCTGGTGGCTATACAGCAGAGATGGCCCAGAGCCCACATTGTAACCAGAGTTTGAACTTCATCCTGAAGCCATGAGGCTTGTGGGAGGTTTTGAACAAAGGGATTGCCTGAAGAAAAGATTATTTTTTTAGATTATCTCTTGGAGAAATTTAAGCTACTCAAGATGAGGCAGAGGAGGGGCGCCTGGGTGGCTTAGTTAAGCGTCCAACTTTCGCTTGGGTCATGATCTCGCGGTTCGTGGGTTCAAGCCCCTCGTTGGGCTCTGTGCTGACTGCCAGCTCAGAGCCTGGAGCCTGTTTCAGTCTGTGACTCCCTCTCTCTCTGACCCTCCCCTGCTCACGCTGTCTCTCTGTCTCTCTCTTAGAAATAAAACATTAAAAAAAAAAAAAAAGATGAGGCAGAGGAGGGCAGTTCAGACACTTGTACAAAAATAGATGGGGACCAGCCTGGTTTTCGAGGGACCTGTGCCACTGGCCATGTGCCCACCATGTCGTGTGGGGCTCTCCTGGGCAGGGAGCATGTCAGGGCAGCAAGGATCCTGTCCCACCTAGGTCAGGAGCTGAGGACTGGGGGCAATCAGCCCCCCTCAAGAACAGCTGTAGGAGAGGGGATGCTCAGAGATGAGGGACACTGTCCTGAAACTGTCCCCACGTGCACTTCTGTTCACAGGAGGAGCACGGGCCTCAGCAGCCGCGTCCAGAGAAAATTCCTTTTTCTGGCTCATGCGCTATACATCCAGGTGAGTCATACAGCCTGGGAGCAAGATGTGGGGAGGCAGACTGGGCTCTTCCCACTGGGGGGAGGCTCAGGAGCCGGCTCCACAGACGCAGACGCAGGCCTGGGGCACCCAGGATGCAGCACCAGGTGCTTGGGTGGGGGGAGAAGGTGCTCGACCATGACTCTTCACCAGTCCTCAAAAAGGCTACTGGAAACCCAAGGATTTTAAGTTTACTAAGACTGATTTCAAGCTTATTGCCAAAAAATTAATTTTTATTATTTCCTCTAAATTCCTAAGAAATTTTGAAGAAGTTCACTATAAGCTTAAGCTCATGACAGTTATCAACAGTGCTAATTAACACAAGTGAAAACATCACACCGAGTCCACTGTGAATCTTGGAAACTACAAATGCCTTTAAAGTATGACTTTGAGGCAGAGCGAGGGGCATAGTGCAAATCAGGATGGTGCGTGGTTCCCTCCGTTTCTTTGACCTGCATGCAGAGCCCAGTGCTCCCCTTGAAGGTCAGGCCACCAGCCGCCATGAGAGTCTGCAAGGAGGAAGGGAACCCCCAAGGGTGGGGCTGCCCTGCACCCTGAATGTAGCAGGAGCCCCTGCCGGCCTCGGAACCGTCAGGCATCGTGGGACTCAGGGGGACTCCCTGCTCCAGACTCGGGGTCTTCCGTGGCAGGGCAGACTTCTGTCACCCTGATGGAGGTACACGGGATGACACTGGTCTCTCCTATAGCGCCTGCTCCACACTCAGGGGCTTCCATGGTGGGGTTCTTGCAGAGCAAAGGAAAGCTGCCATGAGCATCCGAAGGGCAGGTGAGCAGAGAGCCCGCCCAGCCCTCCACCCCAGGGTGCAGAACCGGCCCTCTGCAAGGAAGACCAAAGACAGCCTGCCAGTCACCTGGCTCACTGGCCGTGGTGATGGTGCCAGGCGCCATGCCCTGGACCTGCTGGGCCCCCCGGAGAGTGTCAGGGGACAACACATTCTTGCCGCTGCTGCTGAGCAGCAGGTGCAGGAGCATGAATTCCTCTGCTGACGACTCCCAGCCGTGCTCTCCAAGGAGGAGGGCTTCCGGGTGGGCCATGAGGCCAGCACAGGCTGTGAATTGCATCATACACATCATGCACTCACACACACATGCAAACATGCACTGCATTTACACCAAATACACGAACTCACACACACATTGAATCACACACATCATGTACGCTTGCTCACACAAACATGCAATGCACCACACACGATTCATTGCTCACAAAACATGCACTGCACCTCATATTAAACACACACAACACCACACACACATACCACATCACACACACTACATATACCTACACACACACACCTACACTGCATCACACACCAAACACGTGCACAAATACTTCATCACATACACAGACTCACATGTGCTGCACCTCATACAACCAGTGCATAAGTGTGCATACACAATCAGAGGATTGTGCCAAAACAGAAACAAAGGACTGTGTTTGAGAAGCCCCAGCTGCAAGGTGACACTGGGTGCTGTGCCAGGCATGGATTACAGGGATGGTGAAGAAGAAGGGCACTGGGTACGTGTGGCATCTTTACTTTAATGAACAGTGGTTCAGGACCTGCTTGAAACTTTGGAGTCCTTTGATAGTGGCCCTGTGCCAAGTACTCATGTGTGCTCAACTTCTTGGACACTAGAGACGAGAAAGGAGGAAATGAGCAGTCACAATTATGCAAGCAGGCAGAGTGGCCCACAGCCTACGATCCAGCCATCCGGGGACCCTGCAGGGTGCTGGGAGCTGCCTCCTAACCCAGAGCGCTGGGGGGGCTGCTGCACGGCCACTCCAGGGCCCCGTGGACTGTGGGCAGCAGGCAGCAGCTCGTCACAGCCCGGAGGCTGCTGGGTGCCCCCCAATCCCAGCACCCGCCTCACAGGCCCACAAAGCCAGAGTGGACCCAGACACTGGCTCCAGCGCTGTGGCAGAAGCACCCGGGTCACTGAACGGACATCTGTCAATAGGCAGCACCGTCCACGAAAAGGGTTCTGTGCCTCTTTCAGCATGTGCTTCAGCAGGGGCGCCAAACCTCCCATTTCTCTTCTCCCAAAACCAACAAACACGAGGACAGATGGCTCCTAATTATTTCTGGAAAGTGAGAAGGGCCACCCACAGAAGCCTATTTGCAGCTCGAGGAGCAGACGGAGGGTGGCCGCTCCACACCCCCACGTGGAGCCGGTCCCCGGCCCTGGCTGTTTTGTTCAGGCGCGTCTGTCCGTGTTTGCTGGGGCTTCCTGACGAGCTGCGCCTGGCTCTTGCTACGTTGGTCTGCCTCCCTCGGAACCGTCTGTGTGAGGGCACAAACTTGCACCTGGTCACATGCTCGTGAAAACACTCGTTCTCTTGCAGGGATCTGCACAGCTACCGTCACCATCAGATGGCAAGTACACACTGAGTGTTTCCCAGAGCTCACACTCATCCTGAGTTCTGTGTTAATGCCTTCCTCCGATGGTAACGAGAGGAGCCACGGCTGGGGAGGGAGGCAGCGTGTGGTGCGCGCTGAACGAGTGTCCGGCGTGTCCCCTCCAGCGGCGCTGGGCGCCAGCACAGCAGCCCAGGGCCGCTGGCGTTGGGACGCGCTCTCCCCCGCTTGTGTGGAGGCGGCGTTCCCCACCCTGCTGCTGGTACAGCACAGCTGCGCGTCTTCCTTCCGCTCTGCTCGTGCTGCAGCGTCCCCAGTGTGTCCTTCACCCACACTTCAGAACGTGGCATCTGGCTGCCAGAATCTTCTGACGGGCCCCCAGCAGTCCCCTCCCCCACCTCAGGTGTTTGTGGCGCCGTCCCCCGGAGAGCAGGCGGTCCCAACGCCTTGCGGAAGAGGTGAGGGACATCAATTCTGTGACTGGGCTCCGAAGGCTGGAGCTGCCTTGCTGCCCGACGCTCCCTCGTGCTGGGGGCCCACGGTGGCAGTAGGCTCCGGCCAGCGACTCAGGGAACCGAGGCCCGGTACTGGCCTGCCAACACCCTGGTCATGAGCCTAGATGTGGGTCCCGGTCGGATGAGACCGCAGCCCCTGCTCACACCTGGCGGAAGCCTTGCGGCAAGGCCGGGCCAGTGGAGCCGCCTAGGCCGTGCTGAGCCCAGGAGCCCCAGAAACCGCCAGGCGATGACTCTGTTATTTCAAGCAGGGTAAGTTTACTGTAACACAAGCTAATATCCCAACTTTGTCTGGAAGTCTGTGCCTTGTTGTCCAAATACCCTGTAAGCAACACCTTGAGCCCTAAGCTCAGTGTGTGTCTCCCGCCCGTGTCCCCACAGTGAGGGTGGCACCCCCACCCCCCGGTTGCCTGGGTTGGGGCCCTCTGGTCCCTGTCCCTGGGTCTCCCACTGGCCATCTGTACCATGGACCTGTTCTCCCGTCTCACATCCGTCCGTCCTCAGTGGCTGCAGTGGGCTTCCGGACCTGCCCAGCCTGCCACCTGCCATGTACGCTGCAGCTGGGACACCGTCCCCAAGTCCACCCCTGTCCCCACTGGGCAGTGCGTGGAAGCTTTAGGAAGGGCCTGGGCTGACCGGCCTCTGACTCCAGGTGCTGATTCTGGCCCTGGCTCCGCTGTGGACACCATCTGCGTCAGACCAGCTCCAGCAGCCACACAGGGCCCCCTCTCCCTTGCAGAGGCCGCGAAGACAAGTCATGCCTTCCCCTGTGCCGGGGCCTGGTGAAGCCTGCTGCACACAGCGCTGCGTGGCCTCCAGGAAATGGCTGGTGTCAAGCAGCGAGGTGGGTCAGCAGGTACCCTGCCCTTGTCTTACTATGTTTCATTGTTAGGGTTTGGTGCCTCTCTAAATCCCGTTCTTTTGTTAATGGTGCTTGTTCTTGCCTCACACATTCTGCTCCCGTGTCTAACTTACTCCTAGTCCCTCTCGTGTGCTCTGCAGGCCTCAGAGCAGAAGTAGCCCTGCTGTCCCTCTAGGGGTGTCTTCCTGTCCTGATCTGTCTGATGTGCATGTTCCTAGCAGGGGCCTGTGGACCCTGCCTTGGGACACGTGGGAACGCAAGGGTCAAACGCTGGAGTGGGGGCCAGGACACGTACTTAAGTAGAGGTGGAAGATGAGCAGGGGTCCAGGCATCACGAGGCTGAGGAGTGACAACATCAGCACAAAGAGCCCAGGGCCCAGACCCCCAGGGTCTTCGTCTTTACGGGGAACAGGGGAGGAACAGCAGCCAAGTGTTGGCGTCAGAGATGTCTGCGGAGGCAAGGGAGACACGTACGTGCCCAGCACCTGGGGCACGGCCAGCCTCTCCTCCATAGACCGTGCTCTGAAGCGGGGGGGGGGGTCAGCACCCCGAGGGCACCCCTTCCCACCCGGGTGTGTGCCCTACACCTCACCCAGGTGCTCTTGTGGCCCCAGAGCAAGGCAGGTATCACGGCCCCACTTGATGGGTCTGGACGGTGAGGCTGGGAGAGGATAACTAAGTGTCCAGGTGGCAGAGCCTGACCCCCTGCCTGGCCCTACGCCCACCCTGTCCTGCAGGCCATGCCGCCTTGCTGGGCCCTCCCCATTCTCAACCGCCGCCCTCACAGGGAGCTGCAAGGCGGTGGCCAGCACGTGGGGGCATTTCCAGGACTTGGTCCTCTGGGCCCCCAGCGCTGCTGACACTTCCAAACTGATGTGTGAGAAAAGCACTGACGGGTCTTCAGGCAGGACCATGGAGACAGAATTCCAGCTGGAAGGCCCTCACCTCCCCGCAGAGGCGAAAGGACTGACTCGTCCCTGATGTGGGATGGAAAGTGGCCGTGGGCCTCGTGACTACAGCGCAGGGTGTGTGAGGCTGGCTGCACCATGGGGTGGCCAGCCACATGCATGTCCCAAGCTAGTGACGTCTCAGTGGGTTCCCACCGATGAGAGCAAAGCACCCCAGGGAACTGGCAGTTAAACAGCCCCATGGAATCTTCTGGAACAGCAAAACCAGGAGACTGGCTCAGTCATCAGGCATTCATGTGCAGTGGGACCACAATGGCTCCAGAGCCCGCAAGTCCCAGAGAGAAGCACCTGCTGGGGCCACGCTGCCCTCTGTCCCAACAGCACATGGAGCGAGCGGCCCATGGATGCCCGTGTTGGGCAGAAGAAAGGACACGTGCTGCAGAGCTTGGGTGTGCGGGGTTGCCTCTTACCACGTGACAGCCACATTTCGGAGTATGGGGGCCACGAGAGGCCCCGTGGGTTGGAGGGCCTTCACAAGGAAGGTGCAGCGCCCACCCATGACTGCTCTAGAGGGAGAAGGCACCCCCAGCTGCACTGCTCGGGGCGTGTGTGCACACTGTCAGGAAGGGTGGCGGGTGGAGGCCTCCAGCTGGTGCAGAGCATGGTGGCTCTTCTGGTTGAGTGGGGCCTGGTCTCTCTGAGACCCCCACTGTTCCCTTTTACCATGGAAACAGCCAGGACGCACTTCAGAACAGTGCCGGACAGATGGTCCATCCCACAAGGACTCATCTGGCCCCAGTGCAGTGTGGGCCTGCAGGTGAAGGTGCATGGGGCGTGGTGCCTCTCCAGGAAGAGGGTCAGCTGTGATGTGCTCTTGAGAGAGGCCTGGGCTGAGAAAGGTAGCTTTGCTCTGCACCCTGAGGGCTGAGGTTCCCAAACACTGAGGACAGACACAGGAGGTTATCAGCCTGGGGCTGCCATGACCGATGGGCACAGACCGGACAGTTTCAGCAACAGAGATGGAGCTCCAAAGTCAGGGTGGTGAAGGGCCCATCTCCCTCCGAGACTGTAGGGGAGGATCTGTGCTTGAATCTCTGAGCTTCTGGAGCTCAGGGCACAATTGGGCTTGTGGCTGGTCCCTCCAGTCTCTTCTAAGGATTTTTTCACTGGCTCCAGGACCCCACACATTCTCAGGTAACCCATGAGGATTGCAGGATCCTTCATCACATCTGGAAGCATTCTCTCCCCAAATAAGGTCAGCCACAGGCCCAGGAGTGAAGTGATGGACAGAACTTCAAATGCCACATCCAGCTCCACATCTGTCCCTGAGGCCAGGATCCTGAATCCACTTAGCAGAGATCTGCAGTCACACGCCACCCAGAATCTTCCCCAGGCTGCTCTGCCCTCCAGCCCCACCCTGCTCCCTGCCATGACCAACAGCCAGGTTTTGGGCACAGGGACTTGAACCTGCCTACTGGTGCCTGGGGGCTGCTGCCTTCCTGCCCGGCCCCACAGCTCACCCAGCTAGGAGGAGCCCATTCTGACGCCCCCAGAAGTAGAGCTTTACCCGAAAACAGCTGGAGGGAGAGGCTGACACTGCGAGTGACCAGAGAGAAAGCCCCACCAGAGAGGAGCGGGCCCGCACTTTTGTAGTGGGGGTGCATGTGCAGCCATGCCAGGTTGATGAAGAATTGGATGAAAACGAACAGCATGATGGTGATCAGGTAGAGCAGGCTGGCCAAGGCAGAGCCCAAGGAGCTGAAGAAATACCTGCAGGAGAGTCAGGGCCAGGCTCAGGGATGGGGGTGGGGGTGTGCCAGCCACCTCGGGGTGTCCCTGACCCTGAGCCCAAGGCATAGCCTTCTTCTTGTCTCCTGTAGCCTGAACTCTCCAGGGGATGCCCTGAGGGCACCTCGTTTCTGTGCCTCAAAGCTTACAGAAGAGCTCCCCTTTCACCGCAGTGCAGCAGTGAGGAGGGGCCAGCCTGGCTCACAGGCAGACACACACGGGTTCTAGACCAAGTGCAGGGTCACAGGCTTCCTCCACATCCCGCAACTGTCCCCCCAGGCTCCCGCCCAGTCTGGGTCGAGACCACCACTCCCTGCCTCCCATGTTGCACAGAATCCTGGGTGCTGTTCTTCCATCAAGAGGCATGGAAGCCTGGCTGGTTGGGGAGCCCAGGGGGGCCAGGACAGGCAGCTGGCCGGCCAGCGGCCCACAGTGCGTGTTCTCCACACATCCGCCCAGGGGCTGTGCACGCTTCTGTACACGAATAACATCTTGTGCTTCGGCTTTAGACCAAAGTCACTCCCGTCCTCTTTCCTGTGCTCAGAAGACACAGAGAATGATTTATCCATCCAAAAATTAAATTCTGGCCTTCAATTCTTGGAATAAGCTTCTGCTCCAAGGTCTTCCTTTGGGCTTTCTGCTGTTCTGATATTAAAGAAAACTACTTCTTTATTTTTTTTATCTTAATGTTTTTCTTCAGTTGAAATTTGATTCCATTATTCTTTTACAGAACATGTTGAGGTTCTTTTTCCACATATCTTTAGGTGGAGAGCTAAAACATGAGCACCCTCAAAGGGTCAGGTGGATGTGGAGGGTGGCCTGGGGTTCCTCCTCTCTAGGAGAGGGGGTGGCATGGTGGGTCCCAGGCACCCCAGGTCCCCAAGTCTCATGAGCCTTTTCTAATCATGAGAGCTTTGCATTTCTTTCTGCTCAAAGCAGCAATGCTTTTCAGGCCTGAACAAGCGGAGCATTTCTCACACGGTCTTGACTGCACTGCACACCGCACAGAGCATGACACTCGGTGACGGGCTGCACAGAGCTCCACGCTCCACACCTGGGCTGCGTGCTGCGTGCCGGCTGCGGGTGGTGGGTGAGCAGGCCCACCAGCCGGCGGGGGCTGCTGTGAACTGGCTGGGGGGGCCCCTGTGACATCCCTGCCGCTCACAGCCAGGGACGAGGCCAGTGGGGTCTTGGCAAAGTCCGCAGGCCTTGTACCAAGCTCACAGACGGCGGGACACCTGCCCCCAGGGCCGCCGTGGCCCCCATGCTCTGTGCTCTGACTGCCTCCAGGGAGAAAGCGGCCAGGCCCGGGCCAGCAGGTAAGGACTAGTCAGCTCAGCCTGTGCCCCTTCAGGTGGGGCTGGGCCTCCACACTGGGGAGGGGCTGCAGGCCGACATGTTTCAGAGCCAAAAGGAGAACAGAAGGACGCTAAGGACCGCTGTGCTGGGGACAGGACAGGACCCTTCTACCACCTGTGGCCCCCACCCACTTACCCACGAGGTCCCAGCCTGCAGACCCCCTTTCTTGGGGCCCCCGCCCCTCCCCACTCCTCTGTCCCCCTCCCTCCCCGTCAGTCCCTCTGCCTCCCCCAGCCCTTTCACCCTCACCCCTGCCAAGTCCCACCTCCCCCTTCCCTAGCACCCTCCCCTCCCCCCTGCCAGGGACCTCGTCTCCCTCCTCCGGGAACTCACCCCTCCCCACTGCAAGGTCCCTCCTCCCATCCCCCTCCCTCCCCTGCAAACCCCCACCTCTCCTCCCTGCTGGGTCTTCCTCCCCCTCCCCCAGTACTTGGCCCCTCCCTCCTAGGCCTCCTCCCCACAGCCCCTCACCAGTAATTTCTGCTCCCCACACAGTTGTTCAGCCATTCGCCGTGGGGGTCAAAGTTAGACACACACTTGTTGCAGTAACTACAATGTCTGGCCTTCTTATTGCTGGAAGGAAGCATTCAGGATGAGCAGTCTGTTGGCAGTGCATTTAGGGGAAAGACAGATCAGAGGGGAGAGACAGGTGGCAGGGAAGACCAGCCCCAGGAGGGGTACCTTCCCTCAGACTGTCTGCCTCACGGTGCCACCAGCTCCCACCCTGAACCACAGGCCTCCCTTGGCGGCTTGCTGAGCCCTCAGTGCCCTGGATCGGTGAGGGGCCCTGCGTGTCTGACTGACACTGCTCCTCCTCCAAGGAAAGCAGCACCAGTCAGCTGCGGGGAAGCAGAAAGGCCTGGGGAGGGCCCTGCCTGTGCACAGCGTGGGGAAGGGGGCAGGTCCACACGGCAGGGCAGCGCCCTCGGGGCCGCCTGCCCCCACACCCTGGGCACTCACACCGTGACTTGGCACAGGTGGCAATACTGGCTCTGGGTGGCCTGAGCGTGTAGAGTGGTCAAAAGCAGGCAAGGCTCAGCGTAGTTCTTGAGCCTCACAGCAGCCTCTGCAGGATCGATGGAAACTTCCACCAAGTGGACCACCAGATGGAAAGGGAAAAGCCCGCCAGTCACCTGGGCGCGAGTGTCAAGGAGCATGTGGCAAAGGTGCCCACTCAAGGTGGCTGCCAGTCAGCGCTGCGGGGCTGTGCACCCGGCCATCGGCCAGGACACAGGACAGCCCGCTCACACCCCTGCAGCCAACAGAGCCCCCGGTTCCTTCCCCCATGAGGACGAGATCGAGCTGGATACGGGCTCTCCAGCTAGAAGCAGGACCCTGGAGGCACCTGCTGGTGGCCTGGTGGCACGGACCCCAGGCTTTACCATGGCAGCAATGGAAGGCCCTGGGGGCCAGTGGCCACCACGCTGGGTGCCGAAGTCATGGGCGTTCTTTGGGCAGCAAAGATGCTCGGAGCACATGCATGGAGTGAGGAAGAAAGTGTATCATCAAGATTAAAGGGGGGCAGGTAAGGTTCACACACCCAGTCTGCATGGCCTATCTGGGTCCCATCGTCTCTCTCCTGCCCCCAGGCCTCTCCGGCTCTCTGGCACCCACTCCTGCCATGTCACTCAGGGTAAAACCAGGTCCTGGGACCCCACTCTCTGCCTCCCCTTCAGGACCAACACACTGTCCCCACGGAAACCCAACAGGAGAGGAGGATGCCGCCTCCCTGTCAGCCCTGCCCCGCGCCCCAGGACCGGGGCTGAGTGGGCAGCTCAGGGCGCATAGGCCGGGCTCCAGCGTGTGGCAGGGAAATGACCCGGCCCGGCAGGCCGAGGCCACGGGTGCCCCGGGTTCTGCAGTGATTTGACAGTGGTGGGGGCTTCTGAGCAGGGGACTGGGACACTGCTCAGTCCCGCAGGAAGCCCCCGTGGGGTCTTCCTCAGGCCCTGCCAGCCCGCCTCCACACGGGCACGGCCCTGCCTCCACGGAGGCTCCGTAAGAAACACCCACAGTGCGCTAGCCCGAGCGGGAGGTTGCTTCTGGCCAAAATGCTCATTCCTCCTTCACCCTCCAGTCTCCAGGTGACAAGTGCAGACCCAGGGCTCAGGCGGCCAGGTGACGGCATGAGGGTGATGGAGACCCAGCCCTGCCGCTGGAGGAGGGGGCAGGAGGAGGGCAGGCGAGAAGGAGCCGAGGGCACAGAGGATCGGCCCAGGCCAGGGGTGAGTGGAAGGTGGCTGAGAACCAGCCGGGCCCTGGGGGACCTGCACGGGGGACAGGACTGACCAGATCCCTCAGCACCCCATAAGGGATGAGGTGACCCCAAGCCCATCCTGTGGCCACCGGACCTGCAGGGCTGGGTATGGCCTGAGCCTCGTCTGCACTGCTGCTGAGCAGACAGAAGCTCCATTCCAAGCAGGGTGTGGGGCCGGGTCAGGCTCTGCTGTCACTGCTGGAGACACCGACACGGTGCTGGCCTGTGGTCCCCGCACATGCTCCCAGAAGCCTGCGGGCGCTGGCCAGAGACAAGCACTGTTTGTGTGGTTACTGGGGAACAGGAGCAGGTCCTTAGCAGAGGGGTCTGGCCCGGGACAAGGCGATGCATCAGGAAGGCTAGCGGCACCCACGTGCGGCCCCTTCCTTTGCTGCATCAGAAACAGGGGAGTAGAGTGCCGAGCACGGGGTCCTTTGCCCCCATGGCTACACTCAGCTCCCTGGTGGCCAACTGCAGAGCCCACAGGGAATGGAAGCCAGCCAGAACCTAGCACTGGGGGCCAGCCAGAGGCTCCTGGAGGAAAAGGCATGCAAGTGGGCCTGGGGTGCTCTCTGGGCCCCAAAGCAGGCGAGTGCTCCGAGTGCTCCCTGGACAGAGAACACGAGGCAGCTCAAAAAGGCCCCAGAACAGTCTGAGCTGCAGTGGAGACAAGGGAGATAATGGATTATAACCCAGAACGCAAGCAAACCCACAGTCAGGGACAGAGGTCAGGATACACACACAGAGGGGCAGCTGGAGCGGGGAGGAAGCCGGGACCCTGCCCTCCCCAGAGCCAGCCCCCCGCCTGCACTGAGGACCTCTGGCTCTGGAAGGAGAGTGCTCCCTCTACACGAGAACATGAGCTGAGCACACAGGAGGGAGCGCGGAACTGGGAGATGTTTCACAGTCGTGCGAGATCTCAGCAAGAGGGCAGTTCTGACCAGGACGCCGTGGGGATGGGCGCCAGTGGCCTTGGTGCTGGGCCGGAGAGAGGAGACCCATCACCGCATGCAAAGCATGAATCGTGACTGGATTCTGGGTTATAAAAAAACCAACAAAGCAGGTTTTGGGGACAACTGGAGAAATTTTGAGATGGGATACCTACGAGATTGTACAGTTTCTGCCCATCCTCTAGCCTGGAAAAGACACGAGACATGCGGGGTGATGTGGGACGTGTGATGCTGGCTTTGGAGGCCCCACCCAGCCCCCCCAACCCTGAGCCACAGGCCTAAAGGTGGGGCAGCTGTACCAGGCCAGCTGTACCAGGGTATCTGCTGGGTCAGATACCCTGAGGGCCCCGCAGAGGGAGGCTGGCCATGTGAGTGGCCACATGGCATGGGGGTGGGGGGCAGCGGGCTTCCACATC